AAGTGTACCCACCCCCATGAGGGCACTGTGGGGTCGCGCCCGTGTTCAGGGGCCTGGCAGCATGGCACCTGCTGAATTCTGTCAAGTACATGTTTTTTCTTCGAGTTTAAAGAATTGAAGGGCTGATCTGAAAACACTGACTGTAAATGCCTTTCAGCAGTTACTCTTCGTCCGTTCTGAGCTTTGGGGCCGCTGTCCTTCCTGGGGGTGGCCCTGAGAAGGAAACCCCTGGGGGCTCATCCTCGGGGCCCACTGCCTTCCTGTGTTGCCCTGACTTCCCAGCTGCTGGGTCATCCCCCATCGTCCCTGTCGCTCTGGTCCATGACACTGGGGTGGGCTCTGGAGCGCCCTGCAGGAGGGTTGGCCTGGTGTCAGCCGCAGTGGCCTCTGATACGGTTCACATTGTCCTTTGCTTCTCTCTACACAGATGAGGATGTCAGAACTCTCATGGGCTGTTACCATTAACTCATGGAAGTTCGTGCTCTTAAATCCGTAAGAGGGATTTTTCCTGCAAGGTCATGTTCCTCTATACAGTTTGGTTCACTTGCTTTGATTTTAGCTGTAGGGACTCACAGTCATCCTTTTAACTTTGAACATGTGAACGCGTTCATACAGTTCACATGTAAAGCTGTAGAGACAGGTGCGCTCAGACCACCCTTCCTGCCTCATCCCATTCTGTTGTGCTCCCTGTGAGGGGCCCATCGATTGGTCCTTTTTTAAAATTGAGAGAAAGTAGATCTAGAACATTCTTGTAGTTCCAAGTGTACAATACGTGGTTCAGTATTTGTACATATTCCAAAATGATCACCACGGTATGTTCCTCCACGTCCTGACCGAAGTTTGCTATCTTCCCACGTGCATGTGTGCGCGCGCGTGTGAGAACAGCCATCCTAACGGGAGGGCAGTGGCTCGTTGTGGGTTTGAAGGTTTCCCTGATGACCACACCCTCCATGTCTGTGCATTGTGTTTGTAGAGCTGCTTCAGACTCTAGTCAATCCTTGTCCATTTTGGAATGAAGTGGTTTGGGGATGTTTTGTTGTTACAGGAGTTGTGTGCGTCCTGGAGATTACCCTTACTGGAAGTGTGAATTTGCAAGTGTTTTCTTGCGTTCTGTGGGTTGTCTCTTTCTCTTGATAGTGCCCTCTGATGCACAGAAGTTGTTTCCAAGTCCAATTCATTGGTTTTGTTTCTTAGAGTGCCTTTGGGGTCATAGCCAAGAAGTCATTGCCAAAGCCAATGTCCTAAGGATTTTTCCCCGTTTTTCTACTGAGCTTTTTAGGCTTAGCCTCAAACCCATTTTGAGTTATTTTTGTATATGGTGTAAAGTAAGGTTCCGGTTTCTTCCTCTACGTCTGGTTATTGTTTCCCGGCACCATTTATTGAGAAAATGGCCCTTTCCCCGCTGAATGGTCTTGACATCAGATCATAAGAATGGATGTTCAGGACCGTCTCTGGGCTCTGGGCTCCATCACCCCACCTGTGTGCACGCCAGCACCACACTGTTTCAGTCTGTGGCTTTGAAGCACGTTTTGAAATCAGGGATTGAGTTTTTCAACTGTTCCTTTTTTTTCTCTTAAGATTTTATTTATTTATTTGACAGAAAGACACCGAGAGAGGGAACACAAGCAGGGGGAGTGGGAGAGGAGAAGCAAGTGTCCCGTGGAGCAGGGAGCCCGACGCGGGGGGCTTGATCCCAGGACCCTGGGACCATGACCTCAGCTGAAGGCAGACGCTTAACGACTGAGCCACCCAGGCGCCACTCAGCTAACTTTGTTCTTTTAAAGATAGTTTTGGCTATTTGGGGTTGAGATTTCATTTTAATTTTAGGATGGGTTTTCTTATTTCTGCAAACAAATTTTCCTGGGATTTTGATACAGACTGAATTAGGTCATTTAGGGTAGTATTCACATTTTAAGATTAAGTTTTCCTGTCCGTGAACACAGGGCTTCTATTTATTTCATTTATTTATATCTTTAATTTTAGCTGCATTCTGTAGTTTGTACAAGTATTTTGCCTTTTTGGTTAATTCCGACTATTTTTCTTTTCAATACTTTTATATGGAGTTGCTGAATTTCCTTTGTGGATTGTTAGTGTAGGGAAACACACCTGGTGTTTGTCAGTGTCATGTCCTGCAACATTAGGAACAGACTTTTGTGGACTCTCTCCACACGCGATCCTGGCAACAGAGTTGTATTTCTTCCTTTCCAGTTTGGATGCCTTTTCTCTCTTTTGTGCCTAATTGCTATGGCTATAACTTGCAGTGTGCTGCTGGAACAGGGAGCGCAGTGCAGAGCGCGTCGTTGTCTCGTTCTGGATCTGAGGAGGAGCGCGTTGGGTCTCGCGCCGGCCCTGCATTGCCCACAGGATGCGCGCTGTGGGGTCTGCCTCGGTGGCCTCCGTTGTGCTGCCGCTTTTCTGCTTTTCGTTTGTGGAGTGTTTGTCATGAAAGGGGGTTGAATTCTGTCAGGCGCTGCTTTCTGCAACAGCCAAGTAGCCGTGGGGTTCCCCCCGGGGCTTCCTTCTGTTGTGGATTTTATTGTCAAGATGTTGAACTGTCCTCGTATTCTGGGAATGAACCCCACTTGGTGTAGGATCCCTTTAATGTGCCGTTAAAGTGCATTTGCTGGTGTTTTCGTTGAGGATTTTCTGCATTCGTGTTCATGATGGATCTTCGTGACTTTGGTGCCAGGGTGACACTGGCCTCGGAGGCTCTGGGAACATGTGAGGACGACTGATCAGTTGGGTTTCTAGGAATGTGTCCATTTCACAAAGGTGGTCAATTTGTTGGAGTAGGTTTCTCATCGTATTCTCCTGTCTTGTTCCTGCAGAGTTGGCAGTGTCCCCCCTTTCATACCTGATTTTAGGAATTTCAGTGTGGGGTTCTCTGTCCAATCTAGCTAAAGGCTCATCGATTTGTTGATCTTTGTAAAGAACCAGTATTGGGTTTACTGATTTTCCTTTTGCCTCTGCTCCAACCTTTTATGATTTTTTCCTTGAGCTAGCTTTGGGTTCAGTGTGCTCTTTGTCTAGTTCTGGAAGGTGTAAAGACTCAGGGTCTGGTTTGTCGCCCGTATCCGAGCCCCCTCAGCGTTGCTGGCACCGTGCCACGTGAGCCCTGGAACCCTGTGGTCACTGTTTCTGTCCCAGAGTGTTTTCTAATTTCCCTTGTGATTTCCTGTTTGACCCAGTGGTTAAGATGCTAATTCCCATATATTTGTGCATCCCCCACACATGCCCCTGCTGTGATCAGGAAGGAAAGCACGTAGGTATAACCTAAGGTTAGTAAGAACTCGGATGGAGCGTACTTGGTCTCCTAACGACATCCTGCTTAGGGTCTGGTCTGTTTGCGGTGGGGTCCAGGCTCGGGGGTGCTTCTCTCCAGGCTGGTGCATACCCTCGGAATGTACTTCAGAGGACATACCCTGTGGAACCAAAGTGGCTCGGCTTTGTGGCTTCTCTGTCCTTCCTCTGCTGCATTACTCCATTGACATTTTCTTCCAGGTGACACACTTGATTTCACTCTCATTTCTGCTTGTGTATATCCCATGTCTATTTTCTCTGTGGAAACCATGGGGGTTAGTAACATTAGAAGTGACTAAATTCTAATTTGAATTTTTTCAACTGTCAGATCCCATACAAACACTCCCGTCAGCTCTGCCCCTCCCCCAGCCCGGTCACCAATCCCATGGGCAACCCCCCCTTGGACTGGGTGCCACCAGCAAAGGCTTGTGATGCCGTGTCATGCATCCGTCTTCCAGAGTCTGTAGATTGACCCTCCCGGCCATGCAGGTTGGCTGTGGATGCATGTTTACTGGAGAAGCAGACAAACTTGCTCCGTCTGGACGGGCACCCTGAAGTCATCAGGAACCCCTCAGCCGGCACCCTGCGGCGACTTAACTCTGCCTCCGTGGGGAGGGTTGTTCTGGATGCGGAACCGTTGAGCTGCCCTCTGGCCCGCACGCCATCTGTGCGGAGCCCCGCTGAGAAGCTCGGGGACATTGCCTACGTGTGACGGTCTTCGGATTTCTCACGATCTTCTCGGGTGTCTCGGTGAGGGTCGGAGCCTCGCCTGCTTGCAGTTCAGTGAGCGTCCTGGATTTGTAAATTCACGTCTTCTGTCCAGTTGGGAAGTTTCTGCTGGGGCTCCTGCTGTCCTCCGGGGGCTCCCATGTGGTGCCCACAGCTCCGCAGCAGTTGACTGGTTCTTCCATCTGCTCAGATGCTGTTGACCCTTCCTGCAACTTCTTTACTTGGCTTGTATTTTTCAGCTGCAGCATTTCTCTTCTGGTTTCTTCTTGTAATATGTTTTTGTCCATATTCCTTTAGTTCTTGGAGCATATTTAAGACTGTTTGGAAATCTTTCCTAAGTCCGGCCTCTGGGCTGCTCCTGGGACGGTTTTGTCCTTTCCCTTGGTCACGGCCATGTTTCCCCTGCTGCCTTGTGAGAATTTGTGGAAAACAGGGCTCTGTGCTGGGCTCCTCGTCAGCCATTTGTGCGTGGCCGCTCTCGGAGGCCTGCCTTTCCCAGGCTCCCCCCACTGCTCTGTCGTCAGTGTCCCCCCATAAGCTCCTGCCCCAAACTCCTGCAAGGCTCTATGCCCCCTGCAGCTTTCGTGAGCCATGCCCACCTTTCCTGCTTGAGATCCAAGGTAGGCAAAGCGGAGACCAGTCCTCAGTCAGCCCCAGCCTGTTGGGAAGTTGCAGACAAGCTGGCCTGCACCACACCAGGGGGCAGTGGCAAGTACAGACAGCCCAGGACTGGTCCCACGAGCTTGAAGGTGGCTTGGTGCTTGCTTGGCTGTGGTCACCCTCTGGTGCTCCAGAACTCCCGTAAGGTTGGTTCAGCTGGTTTCTGGTTCTTCTGTTTTCCTTACGTCAGCCAGGCCCCTGTGCTCGTCTCAAGTTTAAACCGACCTGCCTTTCTCTGGAAGGTCTAGGCTTGGGGGCTGTTCGCGCACCTGCACTCCACACTCGACTTGGTCTCTTGTGCTGTTTTCCAGGGCCCGCGCACCTCTTCAGGCTTTCTGGCAAGTGCTTCAGCCTGGTGGAGTCCACGTGAGTGAGGGGAGGTGGGGGCGGGGGCGGGGGCTGGGACCCCCCCTGACGCACCTGTGCCCCCAGGTACAAGTACGAGTTCTGCCCGTTCCACAACGTGACACAGCATGAGCAGACCTTCCGCTGGAACGCCTATAGTGGGATCCTGGGGTGAGCCAGGGGCGTGCGGGCAGGTGGTCCCAGGCCCCTGGGCTGGTGCCCCCCCCCCCATCCCGCCTCACGTGCTGTTCTCCCTCAGCATCTGGAACGAGTGGGAAATCTCCAACAACACCTTCAGGGGCATGTGGATGAGGGACGGCGACTCCTGCCGCTCCCGGAGCAGGCAGAGCAAGGTGGGACCGTGGGGGAAGGGCCCAAGGATGCGGGGACCCAGCTTCCCCCCACCTGCCCACCAAGGCTTTCCCCACAGGTGGAGCTTACCTGTGGGAAAAGCAGCCGCCTGGCGCACGTGTCTGAGCCGAGCACCTGTGTCTATGCGCTGACGTTCGAGACGCCTCTCGTCTGCCACCCACACTCCTTGTTAGGTAGGACCCTGGGGCCGGCCCGGGGTGCAGGTGGGGGCGCAGGGGAGTTCGGCTAAGGGGGCGTCTGTTGAATTGTAGTGTACCCGGCCCTGCCCCCCGCCCTGCAGCAGCGGTGGGACCGGCTAGAGCAGGACCTGGCTGATGAGCTCATCACCGCCCAGGTGAGGTACGGGGCCGGTACCCCTTTGCCTGGGCGTGGCGCAGCCGCGAGCTGGCTCTTCCCTCTTCCTCCATCGCCAGGGCTATGACAAGTGGCTCAGGGTGCTTTTTGAGGATGCCGGCTACCTAAAGACCCCAGAACAAAGTGAATCGGTGCTGGAAGGAGGCGCCAAGGACCTGGCCTTCCAGACCTTAGAGAGCTGCCGTGAGGTAGGGACAGGGAAGGGTGCCTGGCCCCGAGCTGGCCCCCACTGCTGGGCCGCACGCCCTGCCCTCGGAACTCTTGTGTTGTAGGCACATAAAGAGCTGGCGAAGGAGCTCAGGAGACTGAAGAGCGTGCTGACCCAGCACGGCATCCCCTACACCAGGCCTGCGGGTGAGTTGTGCCCTGTGCAGGGCCCCAGCGCACCTGGGGACCTGCTGCCTGCGGGCCAGGCCCTATGCTGACCCCTGCTGCTCACTGTTCTGGCAGAGACTTCCAGCTCCGAGCACGTGGGCCCCAAGACACCCCCAGACGGGACAGCGGAGCCGCTCCGAGGCGACCCAGGACTGCATGGGAACACCTTGTGACCTGAGACTGGCAGGAAGGGGAGGCAGGTGGGGGCCACTTCCTCTGCCTCAGGGCCCCGTGGGCTCTCAGGCTCAGCTCAAAGAGGCGACAGAATAAAGATGCAAAGTTTTAATTCCTGTACTGATAAAAATAATTCCATGAATCCTGTAAACCATTGCATAAATGCTGTAGTGTAAAAAAAATTTAAACAAGTGTTAACTTGAAACAATTCACTACGAGTAAATGATTATGCATTATAGATTATGCATTATAAATACTACCTTCTGGGTTAAAGTTCCATTCCAGTAACATTCTCATCTAAATACTCAGAACAAACCTAGATGGAGGCTTCCATAAATTACTCCCCATGAAGCATCCACACTGAGCCGAGGTCTCCTGCGACCCCAGTCACACAAAAGCAGAGGCTGGACTGCGACCATGAGAGCCAAGAGGCAGGACGGCGCCACCCCGGGGTGCCCGCGGGGCAGGGAAGGCTTCCTCGGAGGGCCCAACAAGCAGTCCCCTGGGGGTCCTAAAAGTTCCACTCACGAGATTCTGGGGGGGGCGGGCCTCAGCGCACGTACTGGGGGAGGGGTCCCCACGACGCCGCAGCTCCAGTCTCTCACTGCACGGCAAGAACCGACCAGAGTAGCTTATACATAGACCTCAAGCTTAACTGTCCTTAGTTGTGTATAATTTGAAAATGTCTAGGCTACGTATTGGTAATAAACATTGTCCTGTTTCCCAAAGACGACCATAGGCCTGAAATGGGAAACAAGTGCATAAATATTAAAAAAAATAATTTTAAACGGTGGTAACAGTAGCACAAAATATACATTTCTAAGAGCTAATAAATCATCACTGATTAAAAACAAAGTAGATGCACTAAAACCAAGTCAATAGTCACCTTTAGTAATGCACTAGCTGCAGAACGTCATGGATCCACCTTCAAACAGAGCTATCGGTGTATCTTACGTTAAAAAAGGTTTTCAACCTCTTACTAAATATTTGGTTACTGATAAAAATTTTTACCGAGCCACTTTGCAGTTTACAAAATGCTATTAAATGTCTTTGGCAAAGCCACGGGTGGGCCGAGACTTCCAGGCCAGAGGGCCAGCCCCTGCTCCCGCCCCCAGCTCCGGCTGCCGCACGGAGAACAAAGTCTGGGTCAACTACAGACATCCTTTGCTTCTCCCCAGATTTCTAGGGAAAAATGACTCAATGCAGACCAGAGAAGATTCAAGTCCTCACCAAAACCACACCCGTTCTCAGGAGCATTTCTGCCATGGCTGGGCGGCTGGGTTCTCTCTGCAAGCCCGGGGTCACTGGAGTGGCTGTGGTAATCGCCAGGCTACCCTGCAGCCTGGGAGCCTCACCCCTGCAAGCTGGCGTCCATCCGGCTGCAGGAAGCGGCCGTGGGCAAGCCTCTGGTCTCAAGCCACCCGAGTGGGAGCCAGGACACCCTCCTAGCAGGCTCACGAGGCTACAGAGGCTCAGGCACGGCTTTGTGAAGTTAATATGAGAGCCTCCACCATTGGGGCCCTGGGCCGCGCTTCCCCTCAGAGGAACACACAAACCCGAGGGAAGGGCGTCCTCCGCCCCTCGTGCGAGGCTCAGGCACTTAGAAAAGCGGCCGCGGGTCACGGAGCATGATCGGGCTCGACGCCACTGCATGGTCCTGGAATATAAAACTCCAATTAATGTGCGTGTGCACGCAATTAGGAGTCCCTTTCACAAAATTAAAAACCTCTAAATGTGTCTTTCGGTATCACTGCTATAAATACGATTTGCACTTAATTTGAAAACTATAAAAAATCCTAGGCATTTCTCACTACTAGATAAACGCTCATTTCATAAGTACTAATTTCAGGATAGGAAATCTAAGATCTTTACCATACCGTGAATTAACAATAAACTGATAGGAAATGGTGTAAGTTCACAGTTCACATATAAAGCTTCATATTATCGCATATTAAAAAAACACAAACCTAGGAAGCAGCTTATAGCAACTCAGAATGTCTAACGCCCCGGTTTACAAAGTGCTTGGCGGGGTCACAGTGCGTCATTCCCGAGCCCATGGGGCCGGCCTGGTGGGCTCTGGGGGTGCGCCCGTGAGGTTGGAGAGGAGCAGGCCGGAGCCCGGGGTGGGAGCGCCAGAGCGGTCACCACGGGAGGGGCTGACCCTCACAGTAGGGGCAGGGGGGCGCGCCCGCGGCGCACGGCTCACAGAGCACGCGGTGCTGGCAGGGCTGGAGGACGGCGTCGCGGGCCCGCTCCCGGCACACGGCACACTGCTTCGCCCGCAGCTGGAAGATCACCTGCAGGGCGAGACACGGGTGGTGGTGCGGTCGGGTGGCATCCAGCAGAACCGAGGCCCCAGGAAAGCCATGGATGGGGCCGTCCGTGGGTCATCGGGGAATGTGGCCCCGGCTGCAGAGTGAGGGCCAAGGGACGCCCCTGGAACGAAGGTGGGGGCGGGAGAGCCCTCACAAGACGCCAGGAGCTGAGCTGCCACACTGGCGTGGGAAGGGGCAGCCAGGCAGGCGGCCACCTCGAAGGACAGACCCAGACAGAGGCCCCCAACTGACATGCTGTGGCCAGCAGGCTTGAGGGTCTGGGCTTATGGGGACCCTGACTCGGGACCTGGGCCTCCGGCCACAAGAGCAGCCAAAGCCTGGGAGACTGTGCCTCAGCGGCCACTGGAGGGGTAGAGAATGTGAGGGCCGTGGAACCTTCCAAATGCTCCAAGGTCTCACCACAGGCCCTGGTGTGAAAGAGATTTACAGCCGAGGGCAGTAAAGGTGAAGGATGGAAGCAGACAGACATCTACCCAGGAACCCCAGAGGGTGACCTCTGTGACCTCACAGAGGTGCTGCTCCAGCTCCGACCCCGTGGGGCGGGAGGGGCACACACCCTGTCCTCGGAGAGCAGAGGTGGCGGGGGGGGGGGATGGATGGGGTCTGGTGAGGAAGACCGGGGTGCCGTCCAGGGCCGGAACCAGGACTCACCCCATCCACGGCTTCCAAGTCCAGGCGCAGCTGACTCTGCAGGGAATGCAGCTTGGGGAGAGGAACGGCACCCAGGTCGGCACAGCGCTGCAGCCCCCGGCCCTCCAGCTCTTCCCGGAGCCGCCGGAACTGGGCCTCCACCTCCTCCTTCTTCTGCAGCGCCAGGTCCCGTGCACTGTCTGCGGCCAGAGCCCGCTCCTTCGCCTCCTTTGCCTCCCGCCGCCACGCGTCACAGGCCTGAAACCCGGGGCAGGGGCGGGCTGCAGCAGCGACACGCGGTGCCCCCCTTCACGGGCGCGCCTGCCCCACCCCTGCCTCCGCCCCACTCACCTGCTGCACCTGCTGCCAGGACTCCTCCCACTGCCTGATCTTCCTCTTGGCCTCGTCCAGCTGCCGCCTGACGCGGGCCAGCTCTGCACCGTTCGGACTCGCACTTGAGGACGGGGCGGGGCCGGTGTTCAGGATGGGGGACGGGCTGGGAGAGAAGCTGCCGGAAACAAAGTCCCAGATGCTCCCGGGGACGCCGTTCAAGCCTGAGCGCAGAGGGGACAGGAAAGGTCACTGGCTATGGTGCTGAGACCCCCACCTCTGGGCCCCGCTGACAGTGACCCCTGCCCCTGCCCCCCTTCCCAGCTGCTCAGGCATCTAAGCAGAAGAGGACGTGAAGTCGGGGCTGTCCCTGCACCGTCCCTGGCCCCCGAGCCCCACCCCCCGCCTCAGTCGGCAGGCCCCACAGCTGCGGGGACCGCCTAAGGTAGAGGTGTGCGCGCGCGAGAGTAAAGTGATACTTAAAATACGATGAGTTACACAAGGTAACGTCTCCCAATAAAAAATACAACAAGGACTGGTGCCGTTACTGTTGTGCCGGTCAGTGTGCTTGGCGCCAGGTCTCTAGTGACATCATAGGTCCTGGGGCCTGAGGCCCACCACCACACACAGGTGACAGCTAGGGCCATCCCGTGTTCGCGCCCCAAGGCACCCTCAGTGGACTGGACAGGGGACCCCTCAGGCGGTGGCCGCCCCTGAGATCGGGCAGTGTGACCACATGGGGGTTCAACGCACACCCCCCCCCGCCACGGACATCACGCAGGGCAGGCATGTCCCCACCAGCATCTGCTCACCTAAGGAGCTGTAGGAAGCAGCCGAGGAGCCCAGTGCTCCGGGCTCTGATCTGAGGGCCGGCGGCTGCTGGGGGGGCGTCATGGCTGAGGAGACGAGTGGCCCTGACAGGGACTGGGAGAGGGAGCTCAGCGGGGAGGTGGACAGCGATGAGGACGAGTGCAGGGATGGGGAGCGGGGCAGGCAGCCCGGGATGCTGACGGGTGCCGAGCCCCCCAGCGACCTCGGACCTGCAGAGAGCAGGGAAGCCAAGTTAGCCGGTGGGGTGGGGGCAGCGTGACCACGGTGCAGGGACGCAGCAGCCACGCCCGGGTCTCTCTGCAGAGACCATGTTGCTGAGACGGAGGTACCCCGAGGGGCTGGGGGCTGGGGACCTGCCCACCTGAGAACCGCCGCAGGGCTCTGAGGAGAAAGGCCGGCCCTGGCAAGAGCCCGTGGTGTGCCCTCCTACCTGCCGGGCCCAGGTCGCCGCTGTCATGCTCTTCCAGCTCTCTGTCTAGGGTTGTGAGGCCGACGTCACAGAGATGAAGCTCCAGAGCAGAACCTGGTGAGCCAGACGTCGCGTCAGCATAGGGCCACACCGCAGCCTGGCCCCACTGGGGAGACCCGCTTTCTCTCCCAGACCACAGTGCTAGCAGTCTCTGGGGCCCTGGTACGCTCTAGGCCCAGCTGCTAAAGGATCAGAGGCATCGAACAACGTGGGGCCCCCCACCTCCCAAAGCTTTCCCTTTTCTACAAGTAGGGGCCTCCCTCCCTTCACCCCCACCCCTGACAGTGGACCCTGGGGACCCAGCTCAGGCCCACCAGCCCCCAGAGCTTCTCAATTCAGCAGCTGCACAGCGGTCGACTCGGAAGAAGTGGCCAGAGGACCCGGCCCTCCGTGTGACTCCCAGGACACCGGCTGGGCCTGAGCTGCTGCTGTCTCCCTGGCCCAGGGTCTGCAGAAGAGCCCCCGGCACTGAAGGCGCAGCACAAGGAGGTCAGCTGGGCTCTGCCCTGCCCCCACCATGCACCCTCCCAGAAGCAGGTGGGCCTTTCCCGTGTGGCTGAGCCTTGCTCACCCCTGCTGCCCGATCAGATGCATCAGGTACCGTCTCTGGAGGCCACAGAGCATCCCCAGTCCCCAGGCCCCCAGGACAGACCGCCTTTCCAAAGCCCAGGGGATGCACCGAGGAGGCCCTAGTTGAGCCTGCTTGTTCTGGGTCCGTGAGCCCAGCTTCCAGAGCCTTCTGCCTCTGCCCTGCCCCCAGCAGCCTAGTGTCAAAGTCCCCTGAACTGTGTCTGACAAATGACAGCAAGTCAGAACCACTGGTCATTTCTGACCACGTCCTGCCCTCGGCTGGACCCAGACTCCTGGCCGTGTCAGACACGCCGCTGTGCCAGGGACATGCCAGGAAGCAGCAGGAGGACCGTGACCTCTGCAAACGACTGCGTTAGAATCCGGGAGCGAAGGCTGAACCTGCCGGAGGCTGCAGAGAAGCTACTACCCCTTCAAATGAAAAGCATTTACCGGGCGCCTGGGTCGCTCAGTTGGTTAAGCGACTGCCTTCGGCTCAGGTCATGATCCTGGAGTCCCAGGATGGAGTCTCGCATTGGTCTCCCTGCTCAGCAGGGAGTCTGCTTCTCCCTCTGACCCTCCCCCCTCTCATGTGCTCTCTCTCAAATAAATAAAACCTTAAAAAAAAAAAAAAAAAAAGAAAAGCATTCACCGTAATTACTGGGAAGGGGGTTGGGGGGAGACAGACTTCCAAACCGTCGGCTGCAGGACGCATGCAGAGCAGACTTGAGGTCCGGCCCATGTGGGGACCGCAGCGTCCTGGAGGCGGCCCAGTGCTGCCTAAGTCCCCAGAGCGCAGGCGCACATCCACCGTCCTCGGGCCACAGGCTCTGGCCTCCCTGGCGGGTGGAGGGGAGACGTGCTCGCCGGGGCTGGGACCCCAGGGGGCTGCACCGCCTGGCGAGACCTGTGCACTCCCGTCAGTGCCGCTGCGCCCGCTCGCAGATGCGGCCAGGAGCACAGAGCCGGGGTACTATGCAGGCACGGCCCCCCACACCCACCCCAGCCCTGCTTTGGATCCCAGCCCCCAGAAGAATTTTACCAAGGTAAGCCTGCTGCCCCACCCATCACCCTGGCCTTGGGCCTGCCCGCTCCAAAGAAAACACCCTTCCAACCAAGGTTTTAGGGGGTCCCACAGGTCCCATCCAGGAAGGAGGTGAGCATGCCGGACAGCAGCCGCCCCCCCCAGCCCCATGAAGAGCACGGACGTGGGGCCTCAGTCCTCTGTGGGGCACAGGGAAAAGGCCCCGGGCCAAGACAGCCAGGGAGCCTGCCGTGGCTCTGCACCCCCAGCAACCAAGAGTCGCAGGGAGAACGGACAGATGAGTCCCTCGGGGAGACACCGCCCGCCTGGGGCCTGCGCAGCCCCTTCCTCCTGTGGGCTCCCCCAAACCAGGCTTCTCTGGACCCCTCACCTGCTTGCCAGTGAGCTCCCTCCTAACACCTAGCAGCACACGGGCATTTGAATCCTGGGGCGGCCAAAACCAAGCACAACAGGAGGCAGCTTCCAACAGCGCCCCACAGATCCATTCTCGCTGTCGGGACCTAGAAGTCAGTCGAGACCAAGGCCTGCAGGGCCGGCTCCCCCAGTGGCTCCAGGGGAGGCTCTGGCCTGCTGGTGTTGCTGTCAAGCCCTGGCCATCTTGGGCTGGTGGACACGTCACCCCAGCCTTTGCCTCGACTGTCACACAGCCATCCCTCTGCATGTGGGCCAAACTACCTTCTTCTTTAAAAAAAAATTTTTTTTTTAATTTATTTGACAGAGAGAGACACGGCGAGAAAGGAAACACAAGCAGGGGGAGTGGGAGAGGGAGAAGCAGGCTTTCTGCCAAGCAGGGAGCCCGATGTGGGGCTCGATCCCAGGACCCTGGCTGGGATCATGACCTGAGCGGAAGGCAGATGCTTAACGACTGAGCCACCCAGGCGCCCCTAAACTACCTTCTTCTTCTTTTTTTTTTTTTTTTTTTAAAAAGTTTTTTTTTTTTTTTATGAGAGACAGAGAGAGAGAGAGAGAGAGAGAGGCAGAGGGAGAAGCAGGCTCCCAAGGAGCGGGGAGCCTGATGCGGGACTCAATCCCAGGACCCTGGGATCATGACCTGAGCCGAAGGCAGACGCTTAACCATCTGAGCCACCCAGGCGCCCTAAACTACCTTCTTCTTATAAAGACACACATCACACTGGGTTAGGACCCATCCGAATGACCTCATTTTACCTAGTTTGCATCTGCAAAGACTGTTTCCACATAAAATCACATTCTCAGACAAAAAATCAGAACTGAGACCTACCTTTTGAGCACACATAATTCAACCAGCAATAATGGGAGCCATGGAGGCCATGAACAGACACCTGCCTAACCACCCTCTCAGGGGCTCTGGTGCTTGAACAGGCATCTCCCGAGTAGACCAAAGGCTCAGAACTCCTGGCACCCTCCCCGGACAGAACTGTGAACCGCCCAAAGGGTGCACCTGCTTCTGGGGCAGACACTGCAGACCCTGACACCACTCACCCAAGCCCACCCCTCGCTGACCAACCCCCACCCCTTCTTGACATCCTGTCTCCACCTCACTCCAAACTGCCAAGCCTTGCTCTCCAGCCTTGTACCCATGCCTCCGTACCCCCTTGAAAAGGCAGCATCCACCCCCAACCTTGCCCCCCTACTCTCTCTGAGGAGCCTGGTAGCCCCTCCAGTGCCTGCTCCATGCCCAAACACACCCAGCTTCAGGCCCTAACCCTCAGATGCCAAAATCCCCCAGTGCACTTTGCCGCTTCCTACCAGGAAGAGGCCAACTGCGGCATCAGCAGCTTCTCAAACTCTGTGGACACAAGGGCCTCCCTCGCTGGTGCACCAGGGCCCATGCACTCAGTAGGAGCCCAGCAGGAGACCTCAGCCCCTCCATCCTCCCTGAACCTGCACCAGTGAGGGCTCCAAGCTCCAGCTATCTCAGCAGGCTGGCCCTCATGCCCCACCAGCCCTGTCCCTCAAGTGGCCTTTCTATGATGCCAATCCCCCAGCACATTAGGAGTCCTTCCTCCCAGAAAGACTGTGCCCCTTGGCGTGCTGGTGGACACTCAGGCCAGACCCAGCCCCCACTGCGGCTCTTCCTCTCTGTCACACAACACTGCTGTAGGCTGCAGCCTGGCAGACCTTCCATCAGCTCCCCCTTGTCCTGTGAGAACTTCTGCTCAGCCTCACAAACCCTTGTTTTGCATGTCGGCCCAGACTTCGAGGGCACCTGGAACCCATGAAGACTCACCTGCTGAAAACAAGCACTGACCCCCACCATCTGCCCTGCCCCCATTGCTCCACGCTCTGCGCTGTGGCCACAAGGATGGAGGCCCAAACCCACCCTTCCTGTGCTGGCCTAGGGTCCCAAGCCTCTGTCCTGCACATGCAAATCAGCCAGACCTGACGATGGAGACTTAACCTTCAGCACCAGGTTAGGTGTGGTATGCTTTAACCCTACAGTCCTAGAAACACTTTCTGAATAACAAAAGTGCAAATGAACTAACAGATTGGGGAGAAGAAACTGAAGCAGGAACCTTTCCTCACCTGGAAAAGATTTATCTTATCACGGTCCCCCACCCCCACCCCATGACTCAGCAGAGATACCCCCCTCCCCCAGCCTCAGGCGCAGAGGGGACACAGAGGGGCCGGCCTGCCCATGACAGCGCAGCCAGCGTGCCGGGGCGCACTGGATGCTCGTCTCAGGGGAAGACCCTTGTCTCCTCCACCTCACTGCTGAGTCAGACTCGGGTCCTCCGGGATATTCTCCCAAAGGAAGAACAGACTTTTAAGAAGACTTGAGCACTCAAAATCTAGAGCCAAATTACGAAAGCCGTGCCATCTGACCCGGAACCCTCTTTGCCCAACTACCAGGAACCACCCAGATGTTCATGAGAAATTAGCGGAGAGCTGCTGAATAATGGCCCTGGCAATCCCCAGATCCTGACGTGACACAGCACATTCAAGAGGCGACGCGGTCCTTCGGGGTCAAGGGACACGCAGGGACAATGCGCACAGTGCACAGAATTAAAGACCAGCACAGGGCAGCCCTGATGCCCGGATGCCCCCCCAGCACACCGTCCTCCCCTAATACAGGATGGAGAAGCAGCCGGCAAACCCACTCACCCACTGGCCTGAATTTCCAACAGTGCAGGCGACGATCCTGGGCATGACAAGGCAGGAACCCCAGCCTCACTGGGGAGCAAAAGATGCACCTCTCCCCCTGGAGAAGCCCCGCGGCTTCGCGCCCACGCAGGGAACCAGCGGGCGCCTCTGCAGAGCAGGTTCCCAAAAAGGGTATGTTTGCATTCACATCCCTGCACAGCCTCCAAGGAACCTGGTACTGACCCCTGGCTGTCACACCTGCCCTGCACACAGGCAACTACAACGGGTATGAGCAGCACCTGGAGGTGAGGGGAAGTGCACCTGGGGAGGAGGAAGGTACGGGCGGGGGGAAGGGGAGAGGAGACACTCTTAGCCTGGCCGGGGGG